TCCGTTTTATTGGTTGATGGAGTTTGTTCAAAGTTTCATTATACAAATATTCGTTGATATGCACTCAAGTTTCTGTAAACTCTATGAGCAAAAGTCCTTCATTTTCGGAAAAAATTTTAACATTACCTTGCTTGCAGAAGACTAACCTTCTTTGTCAGCTGAAATTTGCGTGTTTCGATTTCATCGATAACAGCTACTGGATGGTTCAAAATATTTACACCAAGATTCGTGGCTTGCAATTGTTGATCAAAGAAAGTTATTGACGTTTTGCCTGTATTCCGTATGATTTTGCTAAGATCATATATTCGCAAGCTTCTTGATTCTCTGAAAATTGATGACAATTGATGCAAACTGATGACAACTCATCTGCGCAAACCCCAAAACGAAATGACCAACTGAGCTTGCGCCAAGCTTTCTGGCCGATATTACTGGCGTGCACCTAGATCCTTGTGACACCTTCATCATCTTGGGTCATTCTCTGAAAATGTTTGTACCGCATAAGTTGGGTTTCGACATCATATACTATTATGTTTCTTGCTATAATGTTGGGCATATTTTTTAATTATCTGCCTATCACAAAATAAGCTCTCATTGCAACTTACTACTTGTTTACCCTAATCATTTTTACCTTGTATAGCTTTTATTTATTCAAAATACAACGATAAAATAAAAATGTACACCGATAAACTGCAAGTATCGAACAAAACAAGATTAAAATATTTTGTATAATGAATTTAAATAAGGCATTTCACTGTAATTACTAATTACATTCTATTTTTGACTGTATAAATTGATAAACTAGCATATTTCTCGCCGATAAGCATGCTAATTTTCTATTTATCTATTAGCAATTTCCCTAGGATTGCAAAATTTAAAACAGATATTTAAAAACTTTCTTCTAACAATATGTGTACCTTGGTAGAAAAAGGGCCAATGTCCAAAATGTGCTATAATGAGTTAACATCACTACTAAAATAGGCAATTGCATACATTTATCAGAAAAAAAAGCCAATGTCCAAATAAATTTAGTTTTCAAGTTATGTTTATCTTAATTTGGCCAGTCCATTTCCATTAAAATGAAAAATGGCCAATGTACATCTCACTGGAGTTTGGCCCTTTAGTTATTAGTTTAACAGGCCGTGTTCTCATTTCTTTCGTGGACATTGGCTCTAACCACGCCCTAACTAAGACATTGTGACATATGTTTTTCTAACCTCAAATTTACCAGGCTGTGGTGTGATGTTTTGCATTTCTTACTAAGATATTATTGTACAATATGAGTAAAAGAACTCTAAAAATATTAGAAAACTGTACATTGTTTTCTAAAAATGGTAAGTTATTACTATCATTTCTAAAAATATTTCCAATTCGGAAATCGTTCTCAAAATATTTATAATATATTCTTATACTAAAATATACTAAATTCTTAGTTTGTCTTAAGCCCACCACTCATGTTCCACGGCGCAGTACGATTTTGCCGAATGCAATTGCAGTACAACAATGTTAAAAATCGGATGGGAACACACACGTACTAATTTTGCAGTGTAAGTTTTACTTTCAAATCAGAAACATGACAGATAACGATATACTTTTAGCAGCTCTTGCTGTTTTTATAAACAAAAAAATACAAGAACTGTCATTGCGATTTATATCCAGATAATATTAATTCCCTTTTGAAGTATGTTCGAAAATTAATAATTGTCTTTTTTACCACCAACTCTTCATTTGTATCAGCTTTCACTTCTTGAAATTTAGCAACCAAAATATTCACAGCTTGTTTTCTAGCGGTTTTATTATGATCTGATGTCGATTTTATTTTCCAAAGACACTCTTGTTCTTTATAAATGTCAAAGAAATATCTTAAAAACTCTTAGCTATAAGCCGTTTTCGAAATTTACCAGTAAATGATTTTATTGCAGTCGTACGAGTTTGTCGTTGTCACAATATACACGATCAAATTAATGACCCAACCAAGTCAGTCGTACTGCTGCAGACTGACTTGTTTGTCTGCAGTAAAATCACGCCGATTTGATCGAATTGTGTAAATATATTCAATTTTGTTCAATTTTGTAGCATTCGACAAAATCGTAATGTGGCGTTGAAACGTGAGTGGCGGGCTTTAAACTCAGGAGGATTCTGCTAATTTACAATTTAAGTATATTTGAAAGCTCTTTGGTGCGTCAGTACATATTTGACATAATGATTAACAATGTATAAGGTTATTTATATTTATATTTTATTTCACCTTATTTAAAATATTTATTGAAATTATATGTTAGCAGAACTCTAACAATTCCGCTTTGCATCTATTTCTAATTATTTTAGAATATTGCGTTTTTAACGGTATCTAGCTATCTTTGAAAATATGCGGAATTTCTTACACGCTGAACGAAGCAAACCAATTGGTTTTACCCAATCAATTAGGTTTTGAATTGTGTGGTTAATTTTTGTATTTATATGGAAAATTTTTAATGATAACCCCGATAACGTCGGTTTCTTATCACACAGACACACACACAATATATATATATATATATATATATATATATATATATATATTATATATATATATATATGTTCGGAAAGATTTCCGCGGTTTAGTACAATGTAACTTAGAGCTAAGATTAATATTATTACTAAAATTAATATCAAACTCACCAGTCTTCCGGGTTGAACCGCGTCGATATCCATTTTGCCGAGCTTTCGGCATCCTCTCTGATGCCTTCCTCAGGGCTTCCGAGGTCTCAGTCTCCCGAGCCCTCAGACACTACTACACTATTCACTGTTCACTACGCTGTCACTAGTGTCACTACACTGTCAGTCCTACACAGGCCTCGTGAACATATCAATAGCATATTATGTGCAACCCCATATCTTCTTTACTCCAGCTGTTACCAAGGAAACAATACCACGGTTCTTCGTTCCTTGATTTTTTTGTCATATTAAGGTCGATTCAGACACATCAATCACGTCTCGTGACAGTCCTGGCGCCGAACCGAACAATCCGTCATACAAAATATTCTTTAATAGAAATATGGCGCTGGCATTCACATTCATCTGTTGACGAACAGTTTCCCATCTGTCAGATAGTTGATAGTTCTGTGACCAAACAGGACCGGTTCGGCGCCGAGACTGTGACGGGACTGATGAGTCTGAATCGACCTTTACTCGTTGCTTTTTTGACAACTTTGATTGGATTGTTCAATTTTGATATTGGCGCGAATAAATGGTAATTTGCTGGACTTTACTGTTTAAAGCTGTATTGCTTTTCACAGTGGGTAATTCAATTTCCTAAGTAGTCAGCAATGTCAGCAATTCTGTATCTTTAAAACAACTGCTTAAGCATTTGGAGTCAGAAGTTGTTACTTGATTAGATCCCGGATTACATTTTGTTGTTTCTTTTGTAATCGTATTGCCATTCTGTTTATATTTTAATTTCATTAAACATTGTAATATGTTTAAACTATAGTATAGACTATTCTTCTTCTTGCAGTACCGTCTCCTATCGGAGGTTGGCTACCATTAGAGCAATCTTTACTTTGTTGCCTGCAGCTCTGAACAACTGTATTGAACTGCACCCATGCCACTCCCTTAAATTTCGCAACCAGGAAATCCTCCTACATCATAGACTATAAAAAACATTAAACGCATTTTTAATATCCTTATATAAGCATCATGAGAACCAGTTGAACTGAAAAATTAAATGATAAAGATATCAGTAGTTACATTGAGCATAGTTGTATGTATATACCCTTTTGTTGCCTGGTAAATTAGCTATTTCACTTACTCTGATACTGAATATGAAAGTGGGGTGATACGAATCTTTAGGCACTAATGGACAATTAGACCTTGCCACAGTACAAACATCTATATCACTCAGAGCAAAATCTAAAAATCTATTCATACTATTACGAATAATATTTGTTGCAAGTTATTAATATTAAGAAACTGCAGAATCCGCAAATTTTTATCACAATCCAAAAAGCTATTATCAATAAAATGGGGTAAATTGAAATCTCCTAGTAACATCACATTTGGGATTTTTGGTAATAAAATATTCTCAAACAAATTCAAATAATTTTCATATACATCATAACATCAGCTTTATGTATAAAATACACAACGAAAACATAAAGGGTCAAGTTATTTACACGCAATCACTATCACAGGTAACATTAACAAGTTCATAAGGTAGTTCATTTTTGATTGCTAAAAGTACTCCTCCACCTTGCAGCCTATGGTCTGACCTATCTTTCCTAAACACTGTGTACCTATTCGAAAGGTTCAGAATCAAAAATCCCTTCGTTTAGCCATGTTTCAGTAAGGGCAATTACGTCATAGTTTTCATTTAGAGCTTCAGCATATATTGTATTGGTTTTGGTTCTCAAACCACGTACATTTTGATAGTATATTGACATCAGTTTCTTTGGTGCATTAATGTTTATATTACTTACTATTTGTGTTGATTTGTGTTAAGAATATAGTTTAAAGGTAGCTTTTATTTTATGCACATGCTATTTCTTTCTTGCTGAGATATGACTGAAGTATTATTGCCAGCTGTACGTCAAGCTTAGTTACATATTTTAATAGTTTCTCAAATATATTTTCTGATCTAAGAACTCTTCTATTTTTGTTAGAATTTACACTCTTTTTTCTTAATAAGGACCCTTCTGCTCAGATTTTTTTGTGCTTTTCTCTTTAAACGCTGTTTCTGCCTCTTAAATGGATTTTTACTTAATTTTTTCACCTCTTAACTGACATTGTGGATAAAATATCGTTTGGTGTTGTCATGTGGATATTTTTTAGAAATCTCCAGCTTTCAGAAAGTCATTCTTTAGTTTTTCATTCACACGTAGCACATAATTTATTAGAATGAAGATGAAGATAATTAATTATGATACATTGAAAATAATCTAATTAAATATTTTGATTTAACATTTATAATTCTAATGATATTTTAAAGGATTTAAATAAACGACAGATTTGACATTTATTTTTTTAATTTATATTGGTTTTTTTATAATTTTTATTTTTTTTTCTTAAATAATTACAATGCCCAAACTCTCACATAGTCAACTTTAAGGTGTGAATCATCTGAATTCAAATTCCACGTTGGTTTCCATTGTTGATTAGCCTGCCAGAACCTAGTCATGCCTTCACGGTAAGGTTGAGTACTAGTCCAAGGTTTTTTACCGGATTTATTATCTACATCATCAGGGAAATAGGCTCCTCCAACGGCCAAATTAATCAGTATATGAAACTCAGCATCAAATGGAGCCATCTTACTTCCACGTGCCCATGGGTTTGGCAATCCAGATGGTTGAAGGTCGCCGTATTGCCAGAAACCTCCAGCTGGGGGTGTAACTGTTCCGACCTCTTGATCATCAACAGAAAATTTGATATGTTCAGGCGTCCATTCCAATTGGTATCTGTGATAAGCATTATCCCATCCGCCGTTCCATGAGGTCTTTTCCCAGTGAGTTTTCATGAATTTGTTGTTTTGTGGATTAGGTCCCCAATGTAGAGTACTAGCTTCCAATGGAGTTCCAACGTTTTGTCCACTGCGTGAATAATACTGACGATTTCCTCTACTTTCCATCATGTCGATTTCTCCAGATGTTGGCCAACTTCCATAAACCCATTTACTTGGTAACAACCAAATTGCTAAAATATATGATTAATGTTTAAAAATTAATTTAAATCCAAATATAATATACATACATACAATTGGTTGTGAATTCATAATTATTAACTTAAAACGGCAGAACGTTGGATCTTTAAATGATAACACATGTAAAGGTAATAGTATACCTGATAGGCGCTGAATTTTTATTTATTTTGGCAAAAGAAGAGGCAAAAAGACATATTTTACAAAGTAGAACAGATAATATTTATACACATATATAATGAAATATATTATTGACGATGAATTGCCTTTTTAGTAGATTTGTAATTATCTAAAGTTAATAATAATGAGTATAAGTTGCTCAAATTGTTTCTCTTTTTTTATTAATGGATTATTTCTCTTAAAAAATGAATGCCATGTCGAGAAACAATCTTTCTGAATAATTGCTCTACGTGGTTTGGATTTTTACATTCGGAAAATCGAAAGAGTGCCCTCTTGTGTTAGCATGGGTGGCTAGGGAACATCTATCAGGGTGTAACCTAATGACACTCTTGTGAAGAGTCAAACGGCTAGAAACTTTTTGGGAGGTGTGACCTATATAAAAACCTTCACAGCATAAACAACTAAGTTTGGATACAACATCACTTTTATCTGAGTTTGGTACTTTGTCTTTCAATGACTTGTACAAAGATTTTCCAGCTAGAGTGCTTTTATAAGCAATTTTTACATTTGGTAAGTATTGAGCAAAAAATCTGGTCAGTTTGGGAGTGGCATCCTTAATAAATGGAAGTGATACAAACAAGATTTGAGGAAGATTGTTAGTCAGTAAATGGAAATTAGAGCTAACTTTCATAGCATCTGTATTTTGGGGAGGGTTCTCTTGTATATTGAGTAGAACACAGGATGTGTTAAAGATGATTTTCCTAAGTAAGAATTCGAGGTAAGAACAATTGTAAAATGATGATGAGATTCTTTTTTCTAGAAACAGGGTCAGCCAGTTTACAAACTTTTGTGGTCATTTGTTACACTAGATTAACTTTCATACTTGACTTGTGGTAAGAATGGTAGTTGAGGTATCTCCCTGAGTTACAGTTTTTTCTATACCAATCAATTGTAATTATTTTATATAGTTCTCTGGTGAACATTGTGCCAAGAAAAGGAAGAGATTGGTTTTGATCCTCTTTTTCAACAGATCTTTCATTACATATGTAGCCAGAATTGGAGAGATATTGGCTCCTATAGGAGTGCCAAAAATTTGTTTATAATATTTGTTCTTAAAAGAAAAAGTGAAATTAGGCAATAACTCTATCATCTTAATAAATATATCATAAGCAATGCTAGATACTGCAAAGATTTTATCCGTGTTTATGAGTAGATTGTAGAACGGCATTTAAGTAAACATTATTGAAGAGGGAGACCACATCTAGACTGACAAGAACATAATTATGTGGTAAGAAAGTTCTGTTAAACATCTCGACAACTTGGAAATAATCTCTGATGTAGTAATCATTATTCGAATCATAAGCTTTAGTTAAAATATTAGTGAGACAGCCTGTAATATGTTCGGTTGGTGAGCCTTTGGAGGAAACTATAGGTCTCATAAAGTAGGTTTATGGATTTTAGGGAGGGTGTAGAATGTAGCAACAACATTTTCATAGGATGAGAGTTTATTTTTAGTGTTTGAATCAATTTGTTTCTTTTGCCAAAGACGTTTTATTAGGGCATTAGATTTATTTTGAATATTACTAGTTTGATAACTAGGGAGAGTTATGTAGGATGAATCCTGATCAAAAATCTCTTGAGAAAGTTTAAAGTAATTATCTTTTAACATTACTACGGTACCATTACCTTTGCCAGATTTAGTCACTACTAACTCAGGGTAGGATTTGAGCAAACGTTTAGTTTCTTCAAAGAGACTTTGGAGGAGAGAAGGGGAACTCCTACGTTTAACGAAGTTATTAGTGATTATAGTAGTCGCTCTGGCAATTGCAGTATTTCTACAATCTGAATCCGGAATAAATGATGATATAAAATCAATATGTGATAAAAGCGGTTTAATAGGAGAATAGGAGACCTTCTACAGGAAGTACAGAAAAGTATGCCCTCTCACAAGAAATATGGGAGACTGTTAAACATTGCGTAACAACACCAGTGGATCGCTCAAAGAAAAATAATCCGGTGAAACGGAAACACTGGATATCAGATGAAACTCTTAAAATAATTGAGAATAGAAGAAATCTTTGTAAAAGTGGTGTACATAGTGAAAGGGAAAAAGCTAGTTTAAGAAATCTCAATAAAGAAATAAAACGAAGATGTAAGGCCGACAAAAAACAGTACTATTAAAATATATGCAAAGAAATTGAGAGACATGGTCAGAATAATCAGCCGAGAGATCTATTTAGAAAACTACGCTACCTGACAAGAGACTTCAGAGCCAGAACTTGGGCCATTGAAGATAACACTGGAACCCTGAGAACAAACAGAGAAGACATAGCAAAGACATGGAGATCGTATTGCAGGGACCTATATAAAGATGATCAACGCCAAGAGCTTGTTAGCCAAATCTCTAACGAGGTGGAAGAAGAACCTGATATACTCGAAAATGAAGTAAGACAGGCTATCAACAACCTCAAATATAACAAAGCACCAGGTCCAGATATGATAACAGCAGAAATGCTTAAAGCCACAGAAGAAACCGGCGTAAAGTTACTTCATTTACTCTGTAACCAAATATGGCATTCCAAACAATGGCCTGAAGACTGGACAAAATCTACAATAACGACCATACATAAAAAAGGCAGCTTCCATAAATGCGACAATTATAGAACTATCTCTCTTATATCCCATGCCAGCAAGATAATGCTACATATAATCAATGAGAGACTGAAAACATTCCTTCAAAGAGAAATTACACAAGAGCAAACTGGATTTACCAAAGGTAGAGGCACTCGAGAACACCTGCTGAATATAAGACAGATAATCAAGAAATCTAGAGAATTCAACATCCCACTATACATCTGTTTTATAGATTACCGTAAAGCGTTCGACAGGGTCAATTGTAGACACTTATGGCGAATACTAAAAGAAGTAGGCGTACCACAACATCTAATTACGCTTATAACCGAACTATATGAACACACTACTGGATCAGTTAAAGTACTTGACACACTTTCGAACGAATTTCATCCAGAACGGGGTGTCAGACAAGGATGTATACTATCTCCACAATTATTCAACATATATGGGAAGTATATTATGCGAAGAGCACTTGAAGGATGGGAAAAGGCATCTCAATAAATGGTCATAAACTAAACAACCTACGTTTCGCAGATGACACAGCCCTTCTTGCTAATAGTCAAGCAGAGCTGATAGAACTTATACGACTGATCGAAAACGAAAGTCAAATATTTGGTCTGCAATTAAACATATCAAAGACAAAGATCATGATAGTGGATAGACTACACAACAATCATCCACACATAACCACAATTGACCGGTTCGAGGTTGTGAGCTCATACTTATATCTGGGATCATTAATCACAAACACAGGGTCATTACAAGAAGAGATTAAACGTAGATCTGATCTAGCAAAAGTTGCCACAGCAAAAATGACCAAAATATGGAAGGACTGTCAAATTTGAAGAGCGATAAAGATGAGGTTGATCAACTGCTTAATATTCCCAATACTGACCTACGGATGTGAATCTTGGACTCTGAGACAATCAGAGAGAAGAAAGATAGACGCCACTGAAATGTTCTGTTGGAGACAAATGTTACGAATTCCTTGGACCGACCGCAGAACATATAATTCAATTTTAAGAGAGCTAAAAGTTAGCCAACGACTCTCTAGTAAAGTCCATCTCCAACAATTAAAATATTTTGGGCATGTTATGAGAGCAAACACAGAAAACATGGAAAGACCCATAATACAAGGAAAGGTAGAAGCCGAAGATCACGAGGAAGATCCCCAACAAGATGGATAGATCAAATTACAGGAATATGCCAAAGACCTATGCATGAATTAAAAGAAATGACCAGAGACAGAGATCTCTGGAGACGGACAATACATGACATCACGTCGACCACTACACTCCCCCTGGGGGTCAGGATTGAAGAGAGAGAGAAGAATCAATACCTAATCGTGGTTCAATGCTAAACTTAGTACCTAACGAGAGAAACTTAATACCGCTTGATTAAATTTCAACTTAGGAGATATTTTTTATATAAGAGTCCTTAGTAAAAGGTTGGTTTTTTAACATAGTAGATTTTAATTTGTTGTTTGAGTATTTGATTTTGAGTGTTATAATTTTGTTTATTGGTTTAATTAATTGAACATACCTGGCCATAACCAGTCTCCAGCAGGAACTTTAGCGTTAACTTCAACTCTACCATACTTGAATGAAAATGAGTTTAAGGTCCTCATACGAGCACTTTTTACGGGATTTAGGATAGCATTGGCTGAACCTGTTCTTCTACAACCTTCATTGTCACTACCTGTACAGCTAAAATACAAATTTTTTTTTATATTTTACTATGTTAATATCATTAATTTTTTCAATACTAAAATAAGTAAAAAACAAAAACGTCATACTTTTTCAAATGCATATCATTTGAATGTCTAGTTTGAACACATTTTCGAACTATTTCTATTACTGACGATGAGGAAATTCCAAAACATGAATTTCCAATTTCTATTTTGTCTAATAATAGAAACTCTGAAAAATTATTTTTGACTAATGAGAAAAAAGTTCACTTTTCATTAAAACAAGGTTACTCGATTAGTACTGATCGAGTAACGACGAGAAGTAGATCCACCAGGCTTGAGAATGGCAAGTGAGACCTTGCTGAAACGTCGCCAAAACAATGGTTTTCAAGAAAACCAGCACTTTACAACACGGAGTCAAACCTGGAAAAATAGTGACAGCATATATATGTCTGTCCGATGAAGGATTTGTCCACACAGGCAGGACCAATCACAAGAGCCCGCGCGCCGCCGAGAGAGTATTTAAACGAGCGCCGAAATGCCCAGTCGACCAGTACTAATCGAGTAACGACGAGAAGTAGATTCACCAGGCTTGAGAATGGCAAGTGAGACCTTGCCGAAACGTCGCCAAAACAATGGTTTTCAAGAAAACCAGCATTTTACAACGCGGAGTCAAACCCGGAAAATAGTGACAGCACATATAGCTCTTGCGGAAACCTCAAAACAAACATAATTAACCTTTACGGGAAGGAATTTCTACCAGACATCAGACGATACGAAAAACTACGATCCAAATGAAGCACACTTTTATGTAATCTCACTTTTTTAGAACGCTGCCGCGACGAGGACATAATTCCTAAAAGCATGAAGCTTACGTTTCATAAAAACACTTATAAAACTAAAAACATCTTAAGAAGGGCCAGTTTTTGCACTTATTAGGGAAGCTATCCATGACACGAGGCGGGATATCGACAAAGTCAATTCAGAATTACTAGAGCTACACCTAGTTCTAAGTAATAGTTTACATCCAATACTATGGAATACATTAGAAACACTATACCAACTTCCGAGCAGAGACAAACGCCGACTTAACAAAAATAAAACAACTGAAAAAGTTCAATAGTCTAACAGCCGAACAAAGACCGAGAAAAAAGGAAACACCACCGACGGAAACACACAAATTGGTTTACAATTTTTCGAATCTCGAATTAAATGAGGCCACAACGAGTGTTCTGTCAAAAGAATTTAATTTCGCCGTAGCACCCGCACGAATCCCTGTTGAAAACATTATCAGCGAAGTAGAAAGTTCCATTACCAATATACCTCCGGAAACAGCTGAGATCATACGCCAAGACGTATCGCAGATATTACGGACAGCCAAACCACCGAAAAGAAATTTAACACGTGAGGAAAAAGAGGCGTTGCGAGATTTGCAGAAAAACAAAGAAATAATCGTCCTTCCAGCGGACAAAGGTAACGCCACGGTAGTAATAAATATAGATGACTACGACAAAAAATTAACAGATCTTCTAAACGAAACAGCATACGAAAAAATTGCCACAGATCCAACAACATATCTAGAAAAAACAAGGAAGGCCAAGATCAAAGTTTCAAACATAAAAAAGGAGGATCAGCCCAAGCTGATTCCACGCGAAAAATCATCTAGGTGCCCTAAGCTCTACGGTTTACCAAAGTTCATAAAGTTGGGATGCCACTACGACCAATAGTTAGTTCAATCGGATCACCCACACAGCCGCTCGCAAAATTCTTAGCCAATCAGTTACAACCGTACGCAGAGGAAGCGGATTCTTACGTCAAGAATGCAGGCCACTTCATCAAGCGTATAAAGGACGTGACTCTTGACCCGGGACATTTGCTAGTGAGTTTTGACGTGGTGTCACTTTTTACTAACGTCCCAGTAGAAGAATCGTTAGAGATTATAGGAAAAAAATACCCAATACCACCGGATACAGTAAACCTAACGAGACACTTGCCTGAACAACACATATTTCATATACAAAGACCAAAGGTACAAACAAGTCGAGGGAGCACCCATGGGTTCACCACATGTCACCGGTGATAGCAAATCTGTTTATGCAAGAAATAGAAATACGAGCAATAACAACGGCAGAGTATAAACCGAAACTATGGTTGAGATACGTGGGCGACACCTTCATTATCTGGGACACATGGGGAAGAAAAACTAAATACTATTCCTAAATCACATTAATACCATCCACCCCAAAATTCAGTTTACTATGGAACTAGAGAAAGACCAACAGCTACCGTTTTTGGATGTTTTAATAATAAGAAAACAGATGGAACTTTAGGATACACGGTGTACTGTACAACTGCAGTCAGTCATCAAAACCCTGACTATAAGATCAGAAAGATTAACAGATGAAGAACACAGGAACAAAGAAATGAAAACGGTCAAAACAGCATTAAGAAAAAATGGCTTCACCACGTTACACAATTGAAAAGGCACAAAAATCACAAGGATGAAAAAAGCAAAGAATCAGCAGAAGAAAAAGAAAAACCTATTGCTTAGACGATTTTACCGTACGTGAAGGGCACTACGGAAAAAATCAGTAGGGTCCTAAGAAAACATAAAATAGAGACAATATTCAACACGGATAAAAAATTTCTAATATGCTTAACTCCGCAAAAACCAAAATCCCACTAGAAAACCAAGGAGTGTACAAGATTCCCTGTGGAGACTGCGACAAATCCTACATCGGACAGACTAATCGAAGAATTCAAGTAAGACGAGAAGAACATCGAAACGCTATTGCAAAGCAAGAAAAGACATCTTTCCTTGCACAACATGCCCTAACAACAGGACACACAATCGATCTAGAACAGACAACAATGCTAGCGAACATCGAACACAAAACCAAGCGAATAATCAGGGAAGCCATAGAAATAGAAAAATATCCAAATAACCTAAACACATCGAGATGATGCCCAAAGACTTCCAACAACATAGAAACCAGCTCTGCAAAGACCCGTCCAAATATATATATATATATATATATATATATATATTATATTATATATATATATATATATATATATATATATATAACTAGTTACGGAGATGTTGAAGAAGAAGTACAACAACAAATGCTACAGCATCGGTATCTCTTAATGATACAATCTGAAAGAACAAAACACCTAAGACAAGACACAAAAACAGGAATCTATAAAGCAGCAATTACACCTATATTAACATACACGACGAAGATAAGACCTGACACATCTAAAGCGAGACGACTACTAGAAACAAAGAGACGAAAATACTCCGACAAATATCAGGGAAAAGTCTGTTAAATAGAGAGAGAGAAGCGAAAACATAAGAAGAGTATGTAATATAGAAGCCATAAATGGATGGTTGACAAAATGAAAACAGGAGTGGAACTAACACATTAGTAGAATGGCAGATGATAGAATAGTACGAATAGCACGAGATAAGTCACTAAATGGACGAAGAAGTGTTAGTAGACCAAGAAAAAGATGGTGCGACAATTTAAACAATTTAGGAGGCTAATATTGAAGAAGAAACAGGCATTAAAGCCTACATACAAGAAGGAAGAAGAAGAAGAAGAATTTATTAATAATAAAAGTAGCAATTAATATTAATAAATCAATAATTCCCAAATTCTAAAATTGGTAAAGCATTCATCTAGCTTAATAATAACAATTGTATAAACAATATAAAATAAGACCAAGTTATAAACCATATTTGAATAATTTATAATCATCAATACTTACTCCACCACCAGTTAATGTTTGCTCATGATGCCATTTCGATAAGTCTAACCAATTAAAGTTATCTTCAAAGATTAGCTGACCAGAACAGATACTCGAATTTTTGGGTGCGTGTAAACCACTTGCGGTTGTTATTGAATTTTTAAGACATAAGGAATTGACATCGTTAAATAATATTACGGAAAACACGAGCGGTATTAGAATCATCTTATCTACCATTTTTTCTTTTGTATAATGTGTTAAAATAATTTCCTAGCTAACGCTTATATACAAACGAGATCAACGATATCTTGATTGATTGGGAATTCTGTAGGGGAGACCAGTGAATCAAATAGTTATCTAAACTAGAGTATTGGGTTAACCAGTACAAATGTGATAAATTTGAAATTTTATAAAATCAGAATCTAATTTCCTGTTGTTTGTAAAAATTTAACTCATACGAAATTTCAAACTGTCTGGGGAGGAAAATGTAAAATCTATAAACTGTAAATATGCAGGAATAATGCAAGGAATAATGCAAGGAATCAGTAACCTTTATCCTACACAAGAAAGGGAATAAAGCAGATATAAAAAACTACCGTCCTATAACACTCCTCAATGTAATGTATAAACTCCTAACAAAAATTTTAACCAATAGATTGACGACAAAATTCGATGGATACCAGTCGAAAGAACAAGCTGGTTTTAGAAAGGGATTCAGCACAAGTGACCATTTACTAAGTATGAAAATACTTATAGAACGAGCAAATGAATACCACATTCCTCTATATATGGCGTTCATAGATTTCGAAAAGGCTTTCGACAGTGTCGAACATTGGGCAGTGAAAAGTTCTTTGATTAACAGCCGAACTGACCACAGATATACGGAACTAATAACCAATATATATAATGAAGCCAAAACAACAATTAAAGTATATGAAGGAACAAAATCATTACAAATAAGTAGAGGCGTGAGACAGAGTGATACAATATCACCGAAACTTTTCAATCAGGCTCTTGAAGATACTTTTAAAAGATTAGAATGGGAAAAAAAGGTATAAAAATTTGTGGACAACGCTTGAACCATCTAAGGTACGCTGATGACATCGTATTGATAAAAGATAAAAAAGAAGAATTATTTGAAATGATGAAAGAACTGGACGTAGAAGCTGGAAAGATAGGCCTTAATATGAATTACAGCAAGACCAAAACTATAACAAATATAGATGAAGACATCACAATGAGAATCGGACAAGATGAAATAGAACA